TTTCTTATTATAATACTCTTTTTTGGATGATACAAATTTGCTTAATTCTTGTTTGATATTTGATACTTAATGATTTTCAATAATGTTGTCATTAAGAACTTGACAACTCTGAATTTCTTGGCTTAAAATCAATATGTATTCATTACATTTTATTTATTGCTCCTCGATCAATGCATCAACGCTTGATAATAATTTATTTATTATTATTCATAATAATAATTTATTAATAATATTTATTGTTTTATTTTTCGTTAAACGAATAATGTAATTATAAAAAACTAATCTATCACAGTATCATTAGACGTACCTCAAAGCACAAGTTGTATATGTGGAATGAATTGTAGAATGTCGAGAAGATCACTTGAATTTGTCATTGAATTTTGATCATTGAATAAAACAAGCGTGCTACTATATAGGTTATAGTCTTCTCATCCACTATTGTAATTATTATAAAAATTATTGTAAAAATTATACGAATATGAAATATGATAACGTTCATTCACCGAGAATATTCAATCACTATGCGGCTGTTGTTTTTTAAAAAGATTTCCCATCCTATCCACGATTCCCCAAATTTTCCTCTGAATTCGCAACGCGTTTCCCATTACCCAATGAATTTTTCCAATCGTCGTCGTTTTCCGTACTTTAATTCGCGCACCTTTTATTAAATTCGACACGGCCAGCCAAGGACGGCCTCGAGTTCCGCCCGTTAATTAAACGCGAGACCGCGTTCTTCTGTTCCTTCTTCTCTTTCCCTTTTGGCTTGTTTCTTTCGCGTTTGAAATATGATGATTTCCCTGCGAGAGGGAACGAGCGTCGGACGACGATCTGCCCTGGCACTGTGGCACTGTGGGAGCTCGTCACTGTGAAACGATCGAATTCAGAGAAGGGTCCTCGTGTCCCAAAGAGAATGCAAGTTGCCCCCCTTTTGGCCGCGCTCGAAAATGACGCCAAAAAACGCGGAGAAACAGGGTTTACGTGTTTTACGCACGGACCTTGGAATTGGATTTCCATATCGATGCCTGCTTCCCGGGAATCTCTCAGACCCCGAATTTTTCGCGAAGGATTCTCCATTATTTCTCCTCCTCCCCCATCCTCACGCCTTTAACGCTCTCGCTGCCGTGGTGTTGTCGTCGTTGTTCGTCTCGCGCAGCCGCGGCAAAAATCGTTTCCCCGTCACGGGGCGTTACAGGGCGAAACGAAACACCGCCGGAAATGGGCTTCACGAACGGAACTTCCCTGTTGCGCGTCTATGCGGCTACGAGCTCCAGATATTAGATTGTTGTTAAGATTTGCTGCAGCGGATTGACTTTATGACGCGCGCGTGACTTTTTCGCCCGCCGGCAGATTTAGGATTGTCGCGTGCGTTGGCGCAGGGCGTTGCGTTAACACGCTGTTGGCGTTTATGGCCGATGCGCGGCAGAGGTGGAGAAGTTGGAAATTCGTAGCGGGGAAATACTCGACTGTAATGTCGTAAATCCACGGGAACGTGCGCGGAACGTATGCGAAATTTACGCGGGGGAGAGAGGGGGGGGGG